TTACACCTCTCAGTATTTTGGCAAGACCCCTGCTTCCCTGCCAGTTTTCCCTTCCCTCCTTCATCCCACCTGTAAATTATTTCCTTGTTGTGACTAACCATCTGACTTCATTAATCCATTTTGGTTTCTATTGCTGAACTCCTTGCCCTTCCCCTTACCTCAGGTTCAATATATTAATATATTCTACCTTAGTTTCTTGCAGACTTCAATGCACCCAATATGGTTTCAGCAACACCTGCCTCCAGGCAGTGCCTCTGCCAACAGTGCATTGTTTTCTTCTGCAGTTTGTACTGGAGGGAGGAAGCAGAGACTCCTGTGTCACTACTGCAAGATGGAGACCAAAGTGGATTCATGACCCTGCTGCCCTTTTCATGCTGGCACATTTGGACATTTTCTCCTGTTACACCTCCTAGGCCCGACTTTTAAATCTCCATTAAGCCGCTTTCCTGAACATCTCTCTCTGGCATCTCTTTGTAACATCTCTCTACTGGCCCACTCTCTCTGCCATCCATGCTTAAAATTAACTTTTAACAGTGAGTCTCCAGGGTCTTAATCAGCCTGTTAACACTGGCTGTGTACAAATTCAAGCCAGTCCAAAATCATGTCATTATTATCCAGGTGTTTTTTCAAGACTTGTTTCTTTCTGGGTATGAACTGACCAAAATTAGAACAAAAGCACTGCAGATGTCAAATACTAAGGTGTGTTGGAAGAAACCTGTGGGCAATGCTATGATTTGCCACAATCTTCCAAGCTCATTACCTGTGGCAGTAGGCAAGTAAAAAACCCAGGCACAGCTCATGGGAATAAAAAATTCAGCAAAAAGTGAACAAGGAACAATTAAGAGAGAAACATGGAGCTCCACCAAAGACCCATCAAATAAGAGAGTCAAAAGAAGTTTGATTCTGACAACAATTAAAAAGGGAAAAAAAAAAGAAAGGCACATTTATTTTGAAACCTGAGCTCTGCTTCTCCTTACAGACGGCTCTGATAGCTAGGGACTGTTGGCCTGTGAATGCACACACACTTCATTTAAGTTTCTTAAGTCCTACAAAAACATTAATCTGATGTGCACATATGCTGCCACTTTTGCCTTCACTGGAAGCAGAAATCTTGCAATCCCTGAAATGTTCTAATCCTGCCCAGAAATTATACTTTTAAAGTAGACAAAGGTAATAAAATATCTGCAGCTATTCACGTCTTGTCCCTACACAGTGATTGTATTTATTTTACTCAAAGAACCAGAAGGAATTAGATGGAAAATACAGAAGTAGGCCAATGTAAACAGCCCCAGCCTATATTCCCTGTTTTGCTCTACTGAAACACATGAAACAGCTTTATTCCTTAATGTGGTGCATCTTTCTCATTAATAAAAGATGAAAATACACCTCTGCATTATTTAATATGCTCTGTATATCCAACTCCTACACAAGCTTTGAAAGGCTCTTCAGTTCCTTCCCCCTCCTGAGCAGCATTCAGGTAACTCTGTCCAAAAAGGTCCCGAGCAGCAGAGGCTGTGGTGCCACAGCAGCTTCATGGGATGTATTCATTTATGTCTAACCCACCCACAAAGACCTCCACTGATGGATAGTGCAGCATGCTGGGGCAGCCTCCTCCTCTCCTCACACAACAAATAACAAATTTTTCCTAATCTTGCTTTTACAGTTTCCTGCAAAGAGAGGCAGTTTCTCTCTGGATGAAAGAACATCTGAGCACCGTCCTTGCAGCATACTCCCTAACACTTGCTCTCTAATTCATTGCAGGAAAGTATGACAAATGTTTTGTATTGCTGCTGATTTCTCTTCAGGGCTGCCACACTATTATAACTTTTCTACTGTTTGTCTACACGGTGCAAGATGAAAATTAGGCTTTTCATCCTATACCATCACACAGTCTCTGAATCCTGGCTCAGCAGGACATCTTTCACATCAGGTCCTGGACACATTTAGCCTGAGGTTAACCTTTTATACCTCACAGTGGTTAGTTTTTTCTGGGCCCACACAAGCCTTTTTGCTGCTTCCACAGATAAAAAAAAGAACTGTTGCTCTCCCTTAACGTCACATTTTCTGCCCTGAGAAAATCCACACTGTGTCTTGACTCCTTGCCAGCCAGCTCCTCCCTAATTTTGCTATGCTGCAGAAGAGTGGCTGAGCTGGTCCTCCAAGTGGCCATCCCAGGCTCTTTGGTAAAAGGCTGCCCAAAGCCCTGCAGCACCTCTGCTGCACCTACAGCTGCTTCCAATCCCAAAGCAAGATAAAGCTGATGAGAGGTGTCCTACCTGCATGGAGGGACTGGCCCTGGCTTCTGGAGCACAGGACTGTTGCCATCTGTTTTGCTTTCACAGGATGCTAATGTTATATTTGATTTCTGCTACTCGTTTTGTTTGTTGTTGTTAAAGATCCATTTTTTTTACCCCCCTGCCCTCTTGCAGAGGTCAGTCCATTCACACAAGTCCTAAATTTTCTGTTTGTGGGTAGTGAATTTATCTGAACTGCCTAACTAGGACGTCGATCCTTGACTTAAGGCTACTACACAAATCACATGAAAAATACAGGCTGAACACTTCCTAAGTCTGCAGGACTTACAGTAGAGATAATTAAGAGTAGTAGAACAAGTTGTGGACTTTCAATCAAAACGAACGCAAATGTCACAAAGCACACAGGCCTTGCCTCTGCAAAGAAGAGGTAATAAAGGTTCAGAGACAGAATTAAGGTTAGTGGAGACAGACTCTCATATTTCCATGAGACACACTAACAAAAAAGTAACTTTAAAATTAATTTACTTTAAAATTATCTAACTAATCCAGTTCGCTACTGTCATTTTTAAAAACCTTTTGAATTCCCTTCTTCTCTTTCAAGTTATAACCAGTTATTTACAACTCAAGCTCTGCTTCCATCAATTGTTTTGACTAGAAATACTAATTAAGATATCAGCAATTTCCACCACTGTCATAAACACAACAGTTCTTAAGGAAGAACCTAGAAACATGCTTCTTCTTTTTCAGAGGCACATACAGCTTTCAAAGTGACCTTCTTACACGGAGTTGATATCAACTCATATTTCTTTCATTCCTCTGCATTTTAATTTCTGAATCACAGAAATGACATCAAAGGAATCTTAAAAGAGTCTGACTTTTACCAACAAAATTCTGATTTAATGTACTCTTTCCGATACTTAGGCACAATAGGATACATGATTAGAGCACGGCAGACTGAACACTATACCCATTGTGCCTTGTTAACTGAGGATGCATGGTACACTCCCACTTAAAATTTGAACTTCCTAGCTTTTATGGATTTAATTTAGACCCTTGGGGCTATATATGCATTGAAGATTTGACACGTAACATCCATTATTGTTAAAAGTCATTGCACACACAATCATTGATTTTTAACACAAAAAATCAGCTTTTTCTAATTTCATTTTTGATTAAAAAAAAAAATAATATATGTAATTTGTTTAAAGACAAAACAAACGTGGCTCACAGTTTAACTAAAATGTTCTGAAAATGACAGATACTTGATTTTTGCTTTAAGGGCATGCTTCTTAAAGAAGCAGAACTGACAGTGGTTAAAAAAAGCACACCCAAGCACATGGGAATTTGACTGAAACCTGTAGGGCTACTTATACTACCAGGATAAGGATGTGTTCAAATCCTTTTCTGGATTGGGACCAGAACCCAGGAGAATCAACCTCTAAGACCTAATTTGGAATGCAGATATGCATACAGATTTTAGGTGGGTTTGGTAAGAGAGACTGTTATTAAATTTGTTTGACAGATCCCCATATAAGATGCAGACTTTACACACCAGATGCCTGCCTGAAGCGGAATTTTTCAGGGGAAGAAAATCAAACAAAATGGTTAGATCATTTCTGAGAAAATGCATAATTTGATCTGACATTAATTCTGAGTTTTTTAATTTGAAAACTTAAAACTCTACCCCTTTGTACTTCTTAGAAGATCCATAAGTAAACTACAGAGGATGATAACTTAAGTCTCCCATTTGTGCTGTGGGGGCATCATGTGCATGTTCATGCCGTAGGTTGAAGGAATGCACTGCTTTAAAATTTAAATTTATTTTTAGCTATTAAATTAAATTCTAGGAGTAAAAATACTTTTTGGAATTATATATACAAATTTGATCTCCAGAATTATATATGTGTGTGTGTATATATATATCTTCACTGTTCCTTGTTAATGAAGAGCCCATATCACCTGCTTTATATAATGTTCACTCATTAAACCTAAAAATGCCTGTGTTGCCTGATGTAAATAATCCAAACCAATCTGAGAAATATGTTTTTTAATTAAAAGCCCATTTTATCATCTGAGAATGTGATATAAAAGGATATCAGACCGTAAAGTCTGACGATACTGAATTGATGCTCTGTCTGTGGCACAGATTTCACACTTGTCTACATGCTCAAGTGCTGCCCTGGACAGAAACAAAATGACAGTCAATCTTCCAAAACAGAACCCTAGGGAACCTGGGCAAATGTGCGGTGTATCAGGGGGTTCACTCTAATAAATGCTACATTGGAATAACAAAGAGCTCTGCCATTTGCATTCAACAGAAACAGACAGTAATTCTGAGACAATTATTTCACACAAGTCAATGTTCTGGTATCCGAAAAAAACCCAACCCGCCAAATGCAGCAAATGATGAGAAAGGCAAGCTGTATGCAGGTCAGCCTTATGCAAGGATCTGCCTAATTTGGCCAACTACCAATGAAAGAACTCTTTTTTTTGGTGCCAGATCTGCTTAAAATGGGTCTGTTACGGGCAGGGTTTGTTCCAGTGAACTTGGGCTGCAGTGCAAAATGAAGTACGATGCCTTGAAAGGCAGGGGGTGATTTTTTGGTCATGCCAACGGAGCTTTTGACTCAGGTTGGAGGAGGAGGAGCAGACCCCTCTGTCAATGCCACTGTCAGGCTCTTGATGGTATCTGCACACACTTGCTCAATACACAGGGAACTGCTGTGGCAACAGTAAATGCTTCACCTTGCCATGCATGAGAAGGCGTATGGTAAGCGTGACATTGAGACCTCCTTCAGACACTTTTGCGTCCCTCGTGTTCATCCTGGCCTTGTATCTCCAATACTGGAAACCAGCTTCGTTTTTCGTCTGTGTTTTTCTATTCACTTAATCAACCTAGAAAGAGAGAGAGAGAGAAAAAAAAAGAAGAAAAAGTACCAGTGAGTGGCTGAAGCTACTTTGAACTGAAAGTATCATGCTGTACAAACCAATTAACATTCCTCCCTCTGATTAAACTACAGTTTAGTGCTGAAAAGGCTCCTTTGATTATCATCCCTCCCCAACCAACTCTTTATACCTTCACCAATTACAAGACAAACTCCCTTTTGAAATGTTAAAAATTCTCTTAACTTCCTGTATTTTGAAGCTAAAAGTACAGAGCACAACAGAGTGAAGTACGTTTTCTTCAGAACAGCACTTTCCCTCTGTTAACCTTTGCAGTGTGTATATAAAATATACATATGCATTTTTACATGTGCCTGGTGCCGCTTTCGTTTCTCTCCCTGCTACCACCTCTTTCTCTTCTTGCTCTTCTACAAGAGATATTTTTGTTTTCTCTCCAGCTACAGAGAAATTAATTCTGAGCCTAAACACAGATCCCTGCCAGCAACAGCAGATGACACATTATCAAAGACATCTGAGTAACTAAGAGCCACTTGCTGTTGTAAATCTGGGCACTGTCTGATTTAGTTTCTGTCTACCAGGCCCAGAGGTGGTTCAGTCCCTCAAAGGCCAAAGCTGAGCTTCAGCTCGAAGTAGAAGGAAGATTTTTCCTAATTCCTAGTGACAAATTGCAGATTTTCAGTCATTTACAAAGCCATAAATTTAAAAAAATGCTAATGAAAGCTGCAAGGGCTGGCTTTGAAAGGATAAACAAGATGCATTATTAGTACATTAATGCAAGGATATTTATCAGTACAAACAAAAATGGGGGCAGGAAGGAATATTACCAAGGGAAGGCAAGTTCTACAGTAGAAGAAGCTTAGAGACTTCTTATTCAGTTTTATGCTTGCCAGACCTATCTTATAGAGCATAAAACCCCTAAACAGACATCATACCTCTCAGTAACCATCCTTAGCAATGACAACCTTCCTTTGCTTTACACCTTGGAGTTTCCCAAAAATATGGCTAGCTTGGACACCGGCTAAGGAGAACCCCTAGGGATAACCTTTTTGTGGCTCAGAATATACAGCAGTGTCTCACTGGGATGGCAGGCTATTGTCCCCTTGTGGAGACTGCTCAGGCATGGGACCAAACTACTGGAGGGATCTATAGGTCATCATCTTAAAAACAACAGAGGTAGTATTGTGCAGATCATTTAATCAGCTGATTAAGCTCCATATGAAGAGCCACTAAGCACTGACATACTAGACCAAAGGAAAGTCCATCTTAGCTGAGCATGTTATGTATGAGAGAAGTCAGCAGCAACGCCTAAAGAAACAGCACAAGAAGCATGTGTGGAGTCATCTCTGAGAGGGTTGCCAGGCAGCCAGCAATCAGTGTCTCAGGGTCTTCTGGGAGACTGCATCCAGACCAGCATTTTCAACAGCCATTGGTAGACCACTCCTCCATGAATTTGTCTAATTCTTGAATCCGTATGTCTGGTCTCCAAAAATTTTGGTCTCACAGATTAATTCTTAGTGTGAGAAAAAGTACTCCACTTATCAGCTTAAATCTGCTGACTGTTATTTCCCCTTGTTATACATTTTATCCTCTGAGTATTATCTAAAGACCACCCCAGAAAGTCACCCCTCTGACGGCTGGTGCTTCCCAATTCATTCTGAGTCTGTGAGTGGCCAAACCATTCCTGATGTTTTTGTCCCTGGGAAATACACTGGATGATGCAAAGTCTTCTCAGTTCTCTGCAGGAGCACTTAGGATCACAGAGAACTTCTGTGCCTTCAGTGACTGCAAGAGGCAGACACACTTGAGGAGAGGTGAAAGGAAAGCAGCACAAACTCCTTCTTTCTAACAGCAAATTAATTAGTTGTTACCCCAGAGCAGCTCTTGCCTACCTGCTCCAATGCCAGGGCTCATTTTTTCATTAACCCAGGTGGACTCAGTGTATTTCATACGTTATGCCCTATCACTCAGACCACAGCCACTAAAATAAATCCCATTTATTCCTTATTTTTAGGCTTATCACTTACATTACATACCACCTATCCAGATGGGAAAAACCAAAGAGCAGCAAGGTGCCTGGGTGAGAAAGCAGAAAGGAGAAGCAGCCTGGCCATGCCTCTGGTGCATTGTGCATACAAGAGGGTGAAAGGAAAATGTCTCAAAGCAGCAGATAGAAAATGACAGAGACAGGCAACAGGCTCTATTCTCCTTCTGTAAGGTTAGACCAGGAGTCACAGTGAAGTCTGCAAGTGGGTGACCATGACAGTCCCTTCTGACAAAGGTAGAGGGGAGCAGCAGAGGAGGAGACTGAGAAAGGGAAAGTTTCCGTGGTGCTCATCTGCTCCTTGCTGCTTGCTGAGGAAAATGCTCTGGCTCTGACAGCCCAAACATTTTCTGCTCAGCTCTGACAGCCCAAGCATTTTCTCCTCAGCTCTGTAAAAATAACCGCCAACAGTCAAACAACCCCAAAATGCCAAAACAGGATGATTTTGGTACATAAGCAGTTGAATACACCTCAGCATTCTGAACTTTCCCAGAGCAATACTGGCCATCTAACTTCTCTAGAAAACCATGGTAGCTTTAGGGCATGCTTGGAAGACTCTTCACAATGGATGTATTTCAAGTAGAAGCAAAGTATTTGAGACCTTCTGTGGACCACAATGTAGTGGTGAAGCTGTGTCTCTAATGAAATGTGTGGAAAATAATCCCAGACTAGATACAGGCTTATAGTTGCCTGGCCCTTAGTGCTGTGATGGTACAGCGATATGCTCACTTCAGGAAAAGATTTGGAAGAAAGCCTTTTTCCAGACAACATAGCAAACCCTACTCAAGCCTGATATTTTCAAGATAAAATCTGAAAAAAAATCTGTATTTTTAGCTAATGTCTTCTGGGTTCTTTTTAAAAACAGAGGTTAAAAATGAAATTCCACTACAAGTATTGTTAAAAATACCACTGCCATCTAATTTTTTAAGAACTTTGCCTTTGCCCCTCCTCCCCACAAGCTCAAACTCTGGCACCTGGTACTGAGAAGAAGAACAGATGTCTGGGGGAGGGCTGAGAGTGTGTGTGCCTGCAAGAGTTAGGCAGCCGTGTGAGATAGATACAAAGGGAATGAATTTAAAAAAGGCAACCTCACATGACAAGGAAGAATAGTGAAACCTATATATACCATGAAGAGAAAGTTTTTACTATATCAGGTCATTCACAACTGCCCTAGCTGTCCTGAGAGTCCAAGAATTCTGGAAAACATTTATGGCTTTGTAAAGTAAACCTACCAGACTGTTAATTACCTGAGTATTTCAGATTTAAAGACAGATTAAACCAAAATGCATTGTTTTAATTTATTATTTTTAACTAATTAAAGCAAATTTTCCCACAGGCATCAAAAACACATGCTGCCCTAGTTCTCTGCATGCAGAGAGATGTCAGATCATAGTACAGGAACAGAATGCTTTCCTCTACAAAGTTTCCTACCCATCAACAATGCATCCATGTACTTATAAACCTACTCCTGTAATACAGAATATTACTATTACTCCTGTAATATAGAAGCACATAATGACTGCTTAATCTGTAAAATAATTTCCCTCTCCTTTGCAAAATCAGCATTTTGAACAATTTACTATGTACTATACACGTCTCTCTGTGTTAGCAAACAGGAGGCTAAATTCATAAGGCTTTCCTTTCTCAGGCTATGTGAAGAGGTCCCATGGCTACTCTGAGGGCTGGGAGGGTTGAGTGTCAGACCATGAAAATATCAATGTGTCACACTTCTCCCGATGCCAAGGGAAAGCCGGGGGACTCTGCAGGTGAGCAGTGAGTATCATATAGACAGGTATGAATGCTGAGAGTGAGGGTTTATGCATTTAACTCTGCCTTCAGCAGAGAGCTGGCAGCAACAGGAGGACAGCTGGACAATGTCCTCCTTCTGACCTTGGGACTCTGGACCAGAAGGAGATTATAGTGAGGTGGGTGTTGGTCTCTTTTCTCTAGTAACAAGCAATAGAACAAGAAGAAATGGCCTCAAGTTGTGCCAGAGGAGGTTTAGATTGGATATTAGGAAAAACTTATTCACCAAAAGGGTTGTCATCAAGCACTTCAACAGGCTGCCCAGGCAAAGTGTTAAGTCGCCACCCCTAGAGGCATTTAGAAGATGTGTAGATGTGGTGCTTAGGGACATGGTTTAATGGTGGACTGGACACTGTGTGAGGTTAACGCTTGGACTTGATGATCTTTAAGGCCTCTTCCAGCCAAAATATAACCTAAAATTCTATAACCAAAATGCACAAGATCCAAGATACAGGGCTCTGCACCTCTGGGTAACAAGCAAAAAAATATCATGCCCAGGAAACAAAGGAAAGCAGATCACATCAGACAGTTCCTAGCAAACAGCAGATCATCACCTGCTGTGAGGCTGAACATGAAATTTTGAGAACATTTCCACCTCTGTTTATCATGTAAAAAAATGAAAATTTCTCTTCAGGTAGAAAAAGGCATCCAAATGCATTAAAAAAAACCCAAACAAACACAACCTTTTGAAAACTTCAATAAACTGGACATGTGGTCTTAGGCAAATGCCTTTTATCTCTATATGTTTATATGTTTTCAATAGATGCTACATGGCATGTTCTATATGCTCACTATTCATTACATAAGGGCCACCAATTTTCTAACATGGCATTTCAATAAGTGTTGGTACATTAAGTAACTAGAACAACAAGCAGCTAAGCCATGTGCTCATCAGATGAGCAGAAAGAACACTATGGTTCCTCAAGGACTTTACTGAATTAATAAAAGCTGCAAGATGAACTACACAGCTGAAGGGCAGCCCCACAACCCACACACAACACACACAGAGGTTAGGAATCCACGTGGCTGAGGGGGTAGTGTGAGATGGCTGCCTAAAGCCTGAGACATGGAAAGTCAACCTCATGACCCCTTCTTCCTACCCCTCAAGCCTACTAATCGCC